AAAAAAGTAATCGCTTTTCTCTTTCACACATAGTTGATCATATTTGTTATTTTGTTTTATCTAACTAAACTCTAGCTGAGATAGTAAAGCCACGCGCATACACACATACACATATGTACATATGTCTACAATGTAGACTCTACACTCTCTCTACGCACTTGCTCTCACACGCATTCGCTCCTCTCTCGCTCTCTCAGCGCACATTTCGATAAGCAGTCTGTCTAGCTTATTTTGTTTTGAAGCGAATATCACTTGCATCTGTAGCTGAATCACCACACCTACACACACACATGTGCACACATATGCATCTCTACTTACACGAACAGGCAGAGTATCAATGCCCAGCAATGTGTTCGGCCCGAGGGAGTGCTCTTAACTGTTGTCACCACCTCGGCATGGCAGGAGGGGCAACGTATGCGTGTCGGTCCACTGCCAATGGGCACCAAATTTGATGTGGTTGTTGTCTGTATGATCACGGTGGATTGTTGGGGCGGCTGGGGCATAGGTGGATATAACGGTGGCTGTGTGGGTCCGCCTGGATATGGTTGATAGGTCTGTGCGGGCGTATAGCCAGGCTGCAGTGGCGGCACTGCGCTGTATGGCGGTGGCTGTTTGCTCTCCATTGCTGAATAAATCTGTATCTCTCTTTCTCTCTCTGTCCCTCTTTCTCGCTCTCTCTGTGTATTCCACTCTCCTTGTGCAGCTCGACTGCACGGCTTGCTGGCTGTCGTTCGACTGAATTGGCTGTTAACTATACTCGACTTTACCTTACTTTACTTTTGCCATATCTGGCTGCCCTATTCAAGCCAATTCGTGCGTATCTTATCAGCTACTGCTGCTGCTGTTGTTGTGGAAATTGTTGGTGTTGCTCAGCGATTAGGCTCGAGCAAACTTTTATGCAAGCAATTTGGCTTAGCGAGTTTCTGGCTGTTTGTTAGCTTGTTTCCGCTCATCACAGTTTAATATGCACTCAAATACAAATACATATATTTATAAAGAGATCAGCTCACAATTCTGTATATGATGTATGTAAACTTTGTGACTCATAGGGGCTGTGACGTCTTTAGTATAACACGTTGCTCAAGTTCAATGAGACTCATATTGAGTATTTCACAATGTATGTACATGTGTATATATATGTAAATATTGATATGGAAAATATGCGAAAGAGACACAACTGATGTAAACACGGTTTGTAGAATGAGCTGAAGGTGGAGCCAATGATATTTATAGATTGGCTATGGAATATCGGCATATTAACCGTTAAAAATATACGAAGACAGTAGTTGTACGTATTAAAATTATTTTTAAACTGAGCAGTTTCCTTTGTGGTTTTATCTAATCTTGAGACTTATGAATCTGCAATATACAATAGACTTTTTCTAATATTAAAAGTACGTATTATCTAATCTTGACACTTGTAAAACTAAACAAGCATATAACAAGCCAATGTACTTCTTATTAAATGTTGGGCAAAGCCTAAGAAATGATAAAATAATATATGAGTTAAAAATGATTTTGTATTTAAATTAATTGATTTTTATATTATGTTAAATTTTTTTTATGCATTACTGTAGTATAGTAAAGTGATATTAAGTTTTCAGCAATCAAGAATAAAGTTTAAAAATATGCCCACTGTGCAAAAACCACTAGAAGCTCAATTCATAATGTAATCTGACTTAAATGACTTTTCAGAGCTGGGAACAGAGAAATAAAACAAAACAACAGCTCGGAAATATACATACATACATACATATGCTAGTTAGTTCCATGCATTCTCTAGTAGTCCAAACGGTTGTTTGTTTTGCAAATCAGTTCATCTGTCAACAACAACAGACAGGGTTCGGAGAGCGAGCACTTTGTGCTCCCAGAGAGATGCGAAGCAGCATATGTTAAAGCTGAGGCGTACTACTCGCACTCTCACGCATATATAGTATGTACATATACACAGCCTACGCGCAACTGCAGTTGGCTACAATACATGTTACGCTGTTGTTATTTATTTTTTCACCCGCGCGAGAGCTTTTTTAGCTGCCTGGTGAAAGCTTTTCCAGTGGCTTTTGCTTTTGCCATTTCACCTTGGCGCTCTCAAGTTCAAACGTTAACATTTGAAGCCATGAAAATAATGTTAGGCAAATATGATAAAACATAGTTCGAAGAGTAGAAAACTAAATACAAAGAAATATAATAAATATGAAAATAGTAGCCGCAAAGTACAGACAACTGGTTTTTTTTCAAAAAATTACTTGACAAACATTGAGCCAATGTTTTATTGTTTTTTGCTTTTGGTAGTATTGTGTTTCGTTTCATCTGTTTCTCAACGCGTCTGGTACTTTAACCCAAATTAAAATCAAATAAGAAACACTTGCGCACGACAGGCGACGCAGTACGCATCTAACATGAGCCGGCAATTGAGGTTCAGCATCCCGCACCCAACATCCATGGAGATATGCCCATCCGATCTGGTGGAGATAAATTTAAATGCCGATAGAAAGTACACTAAGCAACAGTCGGCACAGGTGCTGGACGAGTTGCTGCAGTCGAGAACAACAAAAACACTGCCCACGCATCGCGGCTATCCCTATGGCTATGGCGACACAGATGATGAGGCGGACTTTTACTTCTGCAAGAAATCCAATTCAACTGGCCAGCTGGCCGAGAAGGTATCACCGCCGCCGCCATCTGCAACCAACATCAGCTGCTTGAGGCAAATGTACTGTCCGGAGTGCAACGAGCGACTGCATGAGCAGGGCGTGCGATTGGAACGTTTACTCACCATGTGGTAGGTTAACTAAATCGTCTGCTGCTCACTTAACTTTTACTGTTACATTTTGAATTTATTTCTGCCTCAGTTGTTTTGCTTTGCTGCCCATTTATCCGTGCTGTATGCGTCGCTCCAAGGACGAGTGCAAGGTGATTTGTGGCAAGTGTGGCTATCTGCTGGGTGCCTGGAAGCGCCAGTGACACACGTATCTAGCATTTAAGTTTACTTTTATTTAGTTAAATTTTTTCTTGTATGAAGTTTGTTACTCTTTAAGCACCAATTGACCCTGCATGCCAAAAAAAAAGATGAAAAATGTTTTGTTTTGGTTTTGTTTTGTAATATAATTTTTGTTGAAGATGTGCTCGTAATATTTCGGCTCTCTCTTGTTCATTTGCTCTCCTTGCGCTCTCTTAAATTTGCTGTGTTGCTCTCCATCCCTCTCGCACACTAGTGTTTGCTGTGCCTCTCTCGTGTTTTCTGTTTTGGGCTAATCGTGTGCCGCCTGTTGCTGCTCACAGTCGCAATGTCAAACGCTTCGAAGGCAGCCGAGCTGCAGCTGGACAATGTGTCCGCTGCCACAGCCACACTGGAACAATTGGAATTCCAGGAAGAGCTTCCAGTGAAGCCGCAGTTGCGTTTCTATAGCGTTGGCCCTAGCACCTATCGCGTGCTCTGTCCGCTCTGCCATCATCGGTCGCGCTCCGAGACAGTGCAAATGGCTGGAGCTTTGGGTCAGCTGAGTTGCCTGCTATCCGCCCTATCCTGGTGGGTAGCTTTGGAATTTTATGTATAGACATTCCGTATTCATGGCTCTACTCTTGCCTTCCAGCTGCTTTCCCATCTTTGCGCTGAGCTGCGTCTATACCTGCCTGCAGAGCCGCCTGAAGAGCAAGCGTGTCTTTTGCAGCAGCTGCGGCGGACATCTGGGCTTCCACTGGCGTCCCATTTAGTTATAATTTATTAAGTTTTCGCCACATTTTTTGCAAATGTTCTATAAATAATAATAAAGAATAAAAAAATAAACATTCGCGCAGCTGTTGCCAATTTTCAACTATTTTTTGTTATTAGCACGCATATTTCCATCAACGCCTCCACTTAAGAGAGCACCCACTCTCTATCTGTCTCTCTCTCTCTCTCTCTCTCTCTGTTTCTCTCTCTTCCGCTCTTCTCTCCTTTCCCTAAGATTTTATTGCCTTTGGCAATTTCGTTGATCAGCTTTTAGTTGCTCTGCGTTCGTCGTTGTCATCAAATGGAAAGCACTGAGAGTCTGGACGGCAGCGGCTGTGATTTCAATGGCATCTCTGAGGTGCCACAGGTGGGTCACCTGCCCACTGAGCCGCTTGAGTTTGTTTGTCCCGCCTGCCAGCAGCTGCAGACAAGTCAGGTGGAATACGAGGCTGTCACCTACCTGCAAAAGATCACCTGTAGTTTGAATAAAGTGCTATGCTGGTAAATATACCTCATCTATACTCCTCTACCTTTTATTAATAGTATACTATTTTATATATTCTTCCTTTTAGCAATCCCATTCGCTGGAGTGGTAGACAGGACATTAATCACTATTGCAGCGCCTGCGGCTGCTTCATTGGCCGCCACATCACTCTCAGCTGGTATAAGCGCGCTCTGTTCCGTATGCAGCGCTCCGAGGTGGAGGACTATGGACGTTGGCAGCGCTTCCGCAAGGTCGAGAAGGAACAACTTGATGAAAAGAAGCTGGGCAAGCAGCGTGCAGCACTCACAAAGAACTAGTTCTAGGTTCATTTTCATAATCAAGATATCATTCATTTACAAAAAAAAAAAAAACTTTTGCAGCTTTGAATTTAGTAAGCTGAGAGCCCGTGATTCATTTAAATAAAAATATGAGCTATATATATTTTGACAGATTTATGGGTTTTCATATCATATGTTATACTCGATATTTCTGTTCTTTTATATAAAATAAGTAATCAAAATAACATTTCTTATTCATTTATACATTCATAAAGAAGTCAGAGCCCCAACTGTAAGCTTATTACAGTTTTCCGAAACAAACCTTTAATGTTTTTGTACCTATTATCAGAACTAGTTCAAAGAACATATACAAACATACGAATATTTAAATTTCTGTGTTTATCGAAGCAAAGTGTAAAGCTTAAAGCTTTCAAGCTGCAGCTAAAAAGTATTAACTGCTCTGAGCTAATGAGCGTCAAAGTTCGCTCACAGAATCAACTGTATTCGCTCTCATTTAATTTCAGTGCCGATGCAACTCGAAAAGTTCGCAAATACAAATACTAAAGTAAACCCGTACAAGAGAGTCTTCCAGCTGATTGCTGGCAAAGCAATTCCTATCACTAGAAAGCTTTTCTATATGCTTTCCAGCTGCATTCTTGACTGGAACAAACGCTCTCCTTCAGTATGCTTGCATATTTCGTCAAGGGAGCAGGTTCGTTATGTATTTGGTTCTGCTGGTGACCATTTTGTTGACCTTCCTTATGCAATATGTAAGACGCATTTACAGTTATTGGCAGCGCGAGGGCGTGGATGAGGAGCCACCCACATTTCCATTTGGCATTATGCTCAAATTGCTGAAGAGACAACGTGGCTTTGGTTTGATCGTAAGTGATATCTACGAACGTCACAATTCCAAGATTGTGGGACTCTATGTCATGCACAAGCCCGTGCTGCTGATCCGTGATCCTCATCTGGCCAGGCAGATCATGACCAGCGATTTTGCCAGTTTTCATGATCGTGGCATGTATGTGGACGAGGAACATGATCCTCTGTCGGCCAACCTGTTCAACTTACAAGGCGCCTCATGGCGCAACTTGCGCCAGAAGCTGACGCCCTCCTTTTCCTCGGGCAAGATCAAGGGGATGTTTGACACGATCGACGACGTGGGCGATCGACTGGTGCAGCATTTACAGGGCATCGTCGACAAGGCTCCAAATGAATCTATCGAAATGAAGGCCATACTTACAACGTTTGCCGTGGACATTATAGGATCGGTAATCTTCGGACTGGATATCGATAGTTTTACCGATCCGAAGAACGAATTTCGTGCTATAAGCGATTCACTTCTATCAGAGATCGGAATTCTACTTAGGATTCACAACTTGTCCACTATTATATTTCCACCGTGAGTCTTTGAGTCCAGATCATCTCTCGATCTATTTCTGATTAACTGTTTATATCTACCTACAGATTAGCGAAGCTCATGAATCGCATGGGTTTTGAGAATAAGGTTCTTGCCAAGCTGCGCGATATTATGAAGCGTACGGTCGAGTTCCGGGAGAAGAACAATGTAGTACGCAAGGATCTATTGCAGTTGCTTATACGACTACGTAACACAGGCAAGATCGGAGACGACGACGACAAAGTGTGGGATGTTGAAACCGCGCGAGAGGAACTGAAAGCCATGTCTATTGATAAGATAACCGCTCAAGGTTTTCTCTTCTATATCGCCGGCTCGGAGACCACGGCGGCTACATCAGCCTTTACGCTCTACGAGCTGTCCATGTATCCGGAACTACTAAAGGAGGCACGCGATGAGTTGGACGCGGTTATGGAGCGACATCAGTTGAAGAGAGGAGATAAGTTTACCTATGAGGCAGTGCAGGATCTAAAATTTTTGGATATGTGTATTATGGGTGGGTATCTTTGATGTCTATATACATATGTATTACTAATATTTATCCTTCTTCTTATTCAAACAGAAACTATCCGTAAATATCCGGGTCTGCCTTTTCTCAATCGAGAGTGCACTCAGGACTTTCTGGTGCCGGATTTGAATTATACCATAAAACGGGGCACAGGCATATTGATTTCGCTCTTTGGTCTGCATCGCGATGCCAAATACTTTCCCAATCCCGAGGACTATGATCCGCATCGATTTGATGCCGATAATATGAACTACAACCAAACTGCATATATGCCTTTTGGCGAGGGTCCCAGGCACTGCATCGGTGCGTTTTTTTCCATTATCTCAATATACTATATATATTCATATCCCTCTATATTTCTTCTCTATTCCAGCAATACGCATGGGCAAGGTCAATGCCAAAGTGGCTGTGGCCAAAGTCTTACTCAATTTCGATTTGGTTCACGCGCCACGCAAGGAGGTCAAATTTCGCTTTGATCCGGCGCCCGTCCTGCTGCCAGAGGACGGTCTGCACGTGCGCCTGGTCAAACGTGCCTGATTTTTAATTACATTCTATCAAAAATAAATCATGGAATATATGTATATGTTTGTGCTTTATTGATATGCAAAACAAACACACCGCTAAACACATATAGAAACTTTGTAAATAAAAAATCAAAACAAATCAAAGCAAAGCTGAATTGTAAACAAAATGAATATGAAGCAAACAAAGCTTTTGCTTGCTCTTCAAATTTCAAGTTCAAGTGAGAGAGCGAACGAGTGAGTGAACGAGAGAGAGGTTCACATTAACTATGTGGTGTGTGTGAACATTAAATTATGCTCTGCCTCTCTCGTTCGCTCATATTTCGACAGTACTTGCTTCAGCTAAGCCGGCGAAAGCAAAGAATCAAGAATCAAAACAAAACAGGAAACATGCCAAAAATTTAAAGTTAAACTGAGCAAGTTAGAGTGAGAGAGATCGAACAACAACAAATATGTGTTTTCAGAGTGAAGTAATCAAACTAGCTTTGTCTTGCTTTCTCTCTCTTCGAATTATGGCTTCCTTAACTCGATTGTCAGCTGCTATGCAAAATGAAGTCATGCTATGCAAAATGAAGTCATGGAAATTATCGTCTGGCGGCAAAAAGAATCCATATAAAATGGCAGTTGAATATGGATAAAAATTAATTTGATAAAGTGTCTTGATTCAGTGCATGTGTGCGGATCGGCTATTGACTGGCTCGCATATATTCACTGTTAATATATATCCGTTTATTCAATTATAAATTCCTAACCTTCGATTCTAGTTTCAAGCATTGCATAAGTAAAATAATTAAGTTCAAATAAGAATATGAAATATTCTTATTGGACCATAATATTGCAGGTCAAGAATTGGCTACTTCGGAACCACCCAATTTTATCTCATATCCTGTGGCGTCCAGATGCATCCATATGATTCCATCGAGGCGTGCCAAAAGTCAGAAAATATTCTATAAGCAAAAATAATGAAACGCAAAAGTATTTCGGAAATCTGACAGCTCAAGTGTACTATTAATATATATATGTATGTATATATGCACATATATGTATATAGATCTATGTGTAGATAAATATATATGTGGCCGATCTGTCGATGGTATTTCGTAATGTTTCACATTTGTTAAGCATATAAACAAAAGTCAATTTGTTTGCTGCTCTGGTTTTTTAGTTTTGTAATTTTCGCTTTGTCTGCCAAACAGAATGGCTCCAGTGGAATGACGATAATGATGATGATGATGACGACGATGACATCATAAGCGAACCAACAGAACAAGAGATACATATTACCCATACGCCCCGTGAGCGCATGCTCTCCCGCTCACTCTCACTTTTGCTCGCTCTCTCCCTCTCTCTCTCTCTCTCTCTTCCCCTCGATAGTGAAACGTTCGCTGCTTGTCGCTGGCATCGGCAGCTGCTCGAGACAGTTAACATGGAGCCGCAGACGCTACAGATCAAGCTGCTGCCCGCCCGGACAGCGGAGGAGCGTGCCCGAAACATCATTGCCAATGTAGTTGTGGAGGGTCAGCAGGCATCCCTGGTGCCCTATATTGATGATCATGATGTGGGCCAGCCGCTGGAGAAGATTACGCTGAATACGCAGCTACAGGCGGCAGCTCCAGCTGCCCCTCGCTTGAGGTACTATAAGCCAGGCCCATCCACGTACAAGCTGCTGTGTCCGCTGTGCCGCGAAAGAAGTGATGCGGCTGTGATGCGTGCCGCCGGCTGCAAGGACATCAGCTGCTGCCTCAGCCTGCTGAGCTGGTGAGCTAGACGGCTACACTCTGGCCATACCCTGTAATTAATTTCATAATTTTATCTTCTATTAGTGTGTTTCCCATTTTCTGGATTTGCTGCATTTGCACCTGGTGCGGCTGCAACCGCGAGTGGATCACCAAGGGCGTCTACTGCAGCCACTGCGGCGGCAAGCTGGGCATCCAGACGCGTTCCGACTAGGTCAATTAAAATTTGTTACAAATGTCACGCATAGTTTGTTTTTAATTCTATTACGCAGCTAACTCAATTAAAATACGCTCGCTCTTGCCGTCTGCCATCGTTCCTTCGTCTCTCTCCACTCTGCCACTCTCCCTCTCTTTGTTGCTCTCCCGCTCTCACTCGTTTACTGTTGGTCGCTCTCTGGCTGCTGTTCAAACAGGTTGCGCCTTGGCTCTGGCCACATTTTGCTTTCAGTTTGGAATTCGTTCAGCTATGGCCACAACAACTGAGGAGCAGCAGCAGCAACAGCAGCAGCTAAAGCAGGCAAAAAAGGAGCTCGAAATCTACGAGAATTTCGCCACACCTTTGCCGGGCACCTTTCTCAATTTGCCGCAGGAGTCCGTGTTGCTCAAGTGTCCGTCCTGTGGGATTAAGGATAAAACAGTGGTAGAAAACGATCTGAAGTGGTGGGCCAGTGAGCTGAACCGCATTGTTGGCTGCCTCTTTGTGTAGGTCATGATTGAACAAGTGAGAAGTGAGGCAACAGTGCTAATCCTTGAGCATTTTCTTTCCAGCACCTTCTGCTGTTGCTGCTGCCTGGACTACATTGTGCCCTGCAAGCAAACCGATCGCAGTCATTATTGCGGCAACTGCGGCTGTTACTTTGGACGCGCCATGAAGCGACGAGCTCCACTCAAAATCAAATAGAGCAACAACCAAAAGTTACCTTCAACCAATAAAAAAATTGTATGATCTAGCATAACATTAACTGATGCTCGCTCTTAATTTGTTCACACAGTGGTCAAATGTACTCAACGAGAGAGCGCAATGGCCAATCAAAATTACCCACCCCCAAAATATATGTACAAGCATAGGACATTAGCACGCTGACACTCACTTGTTCTCATTCTCTAGCTCTCAGTCAGATAAATGCCACCCACAGCCCACAATGTGTGAATGTATGTATATGTTTTAGCATAGCACAGCAACACTCTGTATTCATTTCGTATCTCTCCCGATACCGCTCTCTCATCTTCTAGTTTCTGCATTTGTCTACCATTTCGCTCTCCAGAGCTTCTGTTCAGTCCCCATTCGTACGCGGTGTTAACAACACGCTGTCGCCTGTTGCTCTTCACTTTACTTTACACTAGTCAGCATGGTTGAAGAACTGACGCCCGTCTATTTTGCCGTTGGCCCCAATGCTCGGGAAGTTACCTGTCCGTATTGCAAGGTGCTGGCGAAGACTCGGCTGGTGCGTTCCTGGCCGCACTTATGCACTAAACGTCATCACTGCGGCGCTTGCGGCGAATATCTGGGTGTCTACAGGCGACCCCAGCTATAAGCAACTTAAAGCCCTTTTAATTTTTATATAGTAAAATAAATAAATATGCCGCTGTTTTTATATCGAGTGTGTTATTTAATTGCTAGTGCATAAGGCAGCAATACATATAAGACGTTCACTCTTGCTCCTTCGCTCTCAACAGTGTTCTTTAGTTGCTCTCATTCGAGCTTTTCAATTGAGCGTGCCAGAACAGCACGTCTCACTCTCGCTCTTTCACTCTGTCTGTCGCTCATTTAGAATTCTTTCCGCTCTCATTTGACTCTATTCGTTCTGCTGGGCCGTCGCTGGATTCAGTTACGCCTGTTCGGTTACAGTGTGAGCATCATGACCGCAGTCGAGCCGCAAGTTGTTGCCATAAGCATCGGCAACCTCAAGGCCCCGGTGGGTTACCTGCAGCCGGAGCCAACCATGGTCAATTGTCCAGCCTGCGAGCACTTTGCCATGAGTATTGTGGCCCATGAGACAGTCAGCTATTTGCAGCGAATTCTCAGTCTGACCAAGCTATGGTGAGTATATCTATATAAAATATATTTCTACTATACACTATAACCGTTATTTTTGCAGCCGCAAGTGGTCGGGTCGTCACGATTGCAATCACTACTGCGCCCACTGTGGCTGCTTTATAGGACGTTATGTGCCCATTGGATGCTACGAGCGCTGCCTGTCCAGATCGGCACGGCGAAAGGCCGTTATGGACGAAATGCATCTGAAGGTGAAGCCCAGGGATTGTGCTGTGCGTGCCCAAAAGCTGAGATCAGAGATTCTGGCCAAGCGGGCGGAGAAGCGCGCTAAAGCTGAGGCGCAGCAAGCGAATCAAACTGTGCTGCTCAACCAATGAGCACAAACGGTTGTCATTCGGCGAATTGGCCAGATGGTTGGTGTCTTGTCTAATTGTGCATGCCAAAGCATAAGTTGAGCTCTGTTAAATGTTGCACATTTTTTGTTGTTTTGACTAAGTTAGTTTTTAAAAATGAGTTGCATTGAAATAAATGTATTTTTCTTTCAATTGCAAAATATTTGGCAAATGTATATAAATTAAAAATTAAATTAAGACCAATTGATCTCATTGAGCAGTTGTCTAGGCTAAATGAGCTTTTAAATAAGGCGCATTCAACAGGTTGTTGTCTTAGCTAAGCTTGCCGTGCTGCACATTCAACAAGTCGCAATTGGGACATTAGCGGTTGGTGTACTAGCTAAAACAAAAACTTTCTCTTAACATTTCAAATGTATGGAAATATTTAGTTTTATTCGTAATTGCAGCAAATATAATTTATTTAGTACCGGGCACAAATTCCCGATTAGGTCGTATGCAATTGCTTTCCCGATCATAGATGCCCAGGAAGCTCTTGCAGTTGGCACAGTGCAGATACTCGCGATTGTCCGACGACTGGAGGCACGGCAGAAAACAGAAGGGCCAACAGTTGGCCACACAGGAGGCTGGGCAGCCAGTGGTCGTATAGAACTCGTTGCTGGTCTTGATCACCGGCCGTCGATTGACGCCACAGCTGGGACAATAGATGCAGCCGTCGGTGGGTACCCAGCGCTCGATGGAGCTGCGATAGAATTGCCGACGGCCCAGTTCCTTCGAATCCGTTCTCATTGGAACTGAGCGACTCGGCTTGGGCGCATCGCCCTGAGACTTGCGCTGCAAATCTGACAAGGGAACATAATTCTCATGCCTCAGCTATATACCTATAGGAAGAGCTACACTTACAGCGCTCGGCTTCGTCAGCCATCTGCACCTCGGACAGGCCGGTCATCTTGCTAATCTCCGAGAGACGCTCCTGGCTGATGCCATGCTCGGCGGCCAGCTTGTGCAGATTGAGCAGCTTCTCGTTGGCCGTGTCCGCCAGGATTTCCGGATGATCCTTCTGCACGTGATGCACCAAGCAGCTGGTGTCGTAGCGCGAGCACTTTATGATCTTCAAGCACTTCAGACAGCGTAGATACTGCACATCGGCTGGTGCTGCTGGGCTGGACATAACTGATTGGCATATGTATGTATAAATATGAATATRTATGTATGTATTCTCTTAGTTAACGCACAATTTATGAATATGTTTGTGTTTGATCGTTCGTGTTTAGATAGTCAAAAAATTACTAGTTTAAAGATCCAACAGTTGGGACAGCTTTAGGTTAGCCAACTCGGTTTGAATAAGTGTATAGAAGGCAAAGTTTTACGTATTACGTATTGCGTATTGCGTATTGCGTATTACGTATTGCGTATTAGGTATTACGTTTTGCGTATTAGGTATTACGTATTGCGTATTACGTATTACGTATTGCGTATTACGTATTGCGTATTACGTATTACGTATTGCGTATACGTATTACGTATTGCGTATTACGTATTGAGTATTACGTATTGCGTATTGCGTATAACGTATTGCGTATTGCGTATTACGTATTGAGTATTACGTATTGCGTATTACGTATTGAGTATTACGTATTGCGTATTGCGTATTACGTATTTACATAACGCGCATTGCGTATTACGTATTGCGTATTACGTAACGCGTATTACGTATTGCGTATTACGTAACGTGAATTACGTAACGCGTATTACGTAACGCGTCTATGGGTAAAGCTTTCAAAATCTTTGATTATTATGGAATCTTCGCTTAATATCCTTGCTTTCAATGCTGTATCTATAAATAATTGTATGTGTATTTGTATATATGTTTATTTATTGAAATACTATATATTCCAAAAGACACTTTAAATATTTATTTGGCTACCTCAATACATCAGCCTTAAAGGAACTTTATGAAAAGGAAGTCCTTTTATTTCTTGTAGAGGCAACCCATTAACAATGTTAGGCGTAGCCTGCAGCAGTCGAGTTTTTGTTGTCGACTTTGTATATAAAAAACGCAAATCTTCCGCTCTCGCTCACACTCTCGTCTTCTCTGTCACTCACACATTCATCTATGTATCCATAATTCCATTGAAGCGTTGAAATTTTATTGTCTGTCATGTGCCTCAGAGCAGATTCATTCATTTCTAGTCATGGCAACATGGAAAATAAAGTCATATGAATATCCCGGCGAGATGTTGGCAAGGGGGCGTGGCTAGGGGCTGGCACAGGTGCGGTGTCATAGCGGAAGCGACACAGCCTGAGACACTTGGCAATTCGGTAGAGGGTTTCCTTTATTCTTATATTCGACTCTTATTTTTTGTCTATTTCTGGTTTTTTGGCTCATTTCATCAAAATTGATTTTCTTTTTCTTTTTTTAGGAGCAGAATGAGGTTGTCATTTGGCTGTGCGTGGCTTTCATTTTCACTTTGAGTTGCGCACGATTTGTTGACTGACTGCCGCCTGCCACGCCCCCTCTACCCACAGCCCGGCCGTGCGTCCGTCCGCCTTGCTTGTTATTTGAGCGCGTTACTCATACGCAGCGTGAAACGCACGAAAAAAACCAACACGTCTGCATTTCTCAGCGTACTTCACGTAATTGCTGCCTCCTTTGTCTGCCTGGCGAAGGCGAAGGCGAAGGCGAAGGCGTGGCATGGCAGCTCTTCCCACTTATTGGCCAACAATGCTGGCCAAGTGCTTAGATCTGTTATTGAGTGGATGCTTTAAAAGTTTTCTCTTTACATTTTATTCATAGTTTTCTGCTTACATATACATATATAACTCTCTCTCCCCCCCCCTCTCTCTCTCTCTCTCTTTCTTGCTTATATAAAAATACAGTTTTCCACATGTGTGAGTGTGTCTGTGTGTGTGTGTGTTTCTTTGTGTGTTTTGGCTTTGGAAGCTGTTTCTCTTAACACTGAATTACTTAAATTAAGAATTACAATTCGCTGAATCCAAAAATGTTAACATGATTTCTCGTTATTTGCCCAACTCTAGACACGCACACACAGACATACATCGATTTGTATACATATACATATACATATATATAGTAATTGTAGGTAGCATCCGTTTCGCTGCAAGGTGCAACCAGGTGTGGCTAATAGGAAATGCGTTTCTTGTTTACTTTACTTCCGTTGTCTCTCAATTTCTAGCTTTCTGCTTCAGCAAATTGGTGTCTCTTGGTGGTTGTTGTTTGTTGTAGTTCTTTGCATATATAATTATATATATCTCTAAATATATGTATATATACCTGCATATAGATGTATGCATTGTTGTACCTAAGCGTATTTGAAACGTCTCTCGTTTCATAGAAAAATAAAATCTAGCTTGTAAAATTGGACTATTGCCGAGTTGGCATTCAAAATGCCATTTCAGCTTTCGCATATGTACAACGATCTTCCCTCTCTCTCTCTCTCTCTCTTTCTCTCTGTGTGTGCTTTACAAAAAAATTAATTACTTTTAGTTAGTTGTGTAATTTCAATTTGTTTTTCCCACGTTTCTGTTGTGTTCTGGCTCTCTTAACTAATCTACTTTTACACACTTTGAGGCACATTCAGTTTGAATCATTTTACAAATTTATAAAGTTGCGCTACATAAAAACAAAACCTTCCCCCTCCCCTCTCTCTCTCTCTCTCTCTCTCTCTCTGTGCTGGGCACCTGCTTGGCGCTGCCCTAAAACTAATTGTTAAAATTAAAAATTGATTTGAAAGCGCACGAGCTGGCGCTCAGCCAACTCGAACCCAACTCCAACTCGATAGCAACTTTTTAATCTGCAGCATGTCCATGCTCCATATTCCATATGTACCAGCTCCTTGGCCTGCTGCGCGAAGCGTCATGCATTTATCACTGGAGTGTCGCCATGCGGCTGGCCCTGTTCGGGTCGCCCCCTCTGCCCGGCCTTAGAGCGTGTTCTGTTTGGCCGCATCGCCGCATTTGGCAGCTGCCTCAAGGCGGGCACGTGGGCGCCGCTTGGTCTGCAGGGAATAGAGACGACCGCTGCGTGTTCGCATCTGTGGCTCCGCACCGTCCCGACCACCAGATCCGCCACCGCCGCCGCTGCTGCTTATCGTGAATGATGAAACGCTTTAGACTGAATTGCACAACAAAATGTGAAGAATGGCTGCCTACTCACTTGAGCTCCAGCTTGGCCAGACGCTGCTTGATTTTGGCCTGGCTGGCCGTGTACTCGGCCAGCAGGCGCGCCAGCCGCATGTTCAGGTTCTCCACGGACAGCTCCAGCTTCTCGATGCCGCCCTCGATGCTGTCGTGCACGCGCTGCGAATCTGTGTGTGGAGCAGAAACGGAAGAAACGGAATAACGGAAGTTAGCTAGCTGCCGGAAGTGGCCGAAAATGCTGTGTGCCCACATATACGTAGATATATGAGCGGCGATTACCCGCAAAGATCTGCTCGTCCAGCAGCCCGTCCTTGCGCAGCAGCTGGCAGCCGCGCTGGGTGAGCGTGGAGCGCGCCTCAGGATAGTCGGCTAGCGTTTCCCACAGATCCCGCTTGGCCAGACAGAAGAGATCCGAGTAGCCGAGCGAGCGTACGTTCGCCGTGCGTCGATTGCCCGTCCGGTTGCCCGCTATCTCCAGCACGGACACCTCGCCGAACACCGAGCCAGCGCCCAAGGTGGCCAGCACGGTGACGCCATTGTCGCCCACGACGGACAGCTTGCCACGCTTCACAATGTACATCTCCTTGCCGACGTCGCCCTTGCGGCAGATGTAGTCGCCGGGACTGAAGACCTGCAGCTTCAGCTTCAGCACCAGCGCCTCCAGCAGGCCCGGCTCCGTGTCGTGGAAGATGCGCACCTGCTTCAGCGTATCCATGTGCACCTGTATGGCTATCTCGGCTTTCAGCTTGTCCGGCAGCGCCGCCAGCACCCGCTCCTCGTCCAGGGCTCCGCTCTGCGACCAGGTGTACGCGAACCAGCGAATCACGCGCGCCTCCAGCTCATGGCCCACACGCCGGAAGGCCATGTACTGCTTGACGCCATCCATGCGATTCTGGAACTCCACCCGCGCCACATTCATGTTGGATATCATCGAGCCGATGTTACCTGCGGAGCAATGTGGTTTTCATAAAATGTTTTGTGGTGTAGCTATGTGCAATGATTCGTATGTTTACAGGGTATCTGCAGGGTATCTACAGGGAGTCTACGGTGTATGTTCAGGATATGTACAGGATATTTAAAGGGTTTGTATAGGGTATCTCCAGGGTACTTACAGAGTATCTTTAGGGTATACATAGTGTATCTATATGATAACTACAGGGTATCTCGAGCGCATCAAGCTATCTATCAGCTAGTACAGCTTAGACAATAGTCAATCCTCCACCAACTCTTTTAAGTCTATGATTTTCCTGCGCATATGGGCATTATTAATGTTTCATATTCACAGGGTATTTGCTAGTCGAGCACATTCCTGTCTAGCAAACGTGCATCTGCTACATTTTCATCAACATACATACATATATTTCTCTTACACATATCGACGCCATTATGAGACATTGTCAATCAATATTATGAAATATTCAAATAATGGAACGGGTATCTGCCTAGTCGAGCATGCATGCCATTCATACTTTTATTGCCTGTTTTGTTAGAGACTCGTTTTAATTTCGACAGCCATTTCCGTTGCGCCACTTGTGTGTCGTAAATTCTTCAAGGGGCCCACGCGTAGCGCAACGGAACGCGTGGCACAAAGGCGACTAATGGCGGCACTTCCGGTGCACAGAGGACCACGCAGACCGATAGACAGACAGACAGAGAGAGAGAGAGCGAGAGAGACAGAGAGACAGACAGCATTAGCATCTTCTCCATATGTACATATGATGGTAAAATATGCCACTTTGACGAACTTTGCATTCATCATGGGTAAGTAAATTTGTTTGCCCAGATGTCAGACGAGGACAAGAGCAACAGCAGCAGCAGCAGCAGCAGCAGCAGCAGCAGCAGCAGCAGCTGCCCGGTAATGGCAGCGATAAGCAGGACGACAAAAATGATAAAAAGGCACGTTTGCCAAAAAAAAAAAAGAAGAGAAGAAGAAGAAGAGGAAGAGCGTGGCGAATGTGAAGGCGTTGACAGCAACAAATCAACCCTGCACATGCTAAAATGAAAAACAAAACAAAGTAGAGCAGCAGCAGCAGCAGCAGCAACAATAATGAATAATGTGG